CGCTGGCATCACACCCTCACCATCTGGGCAGGAGACTGTAGCTCTTCTCTGAGGAAAAGGACTAAAACCCAAACCAAACCCATTGCCATCAAGTCAATTCCAATTCATAGAAACCTTATAGAACAGAGTAGAATTTCCCCACAGGGCTTCCAAGGAGTGGCCGGTGGATTCAAATTGCCAACCTTTTGGTTAGTAGACGGACGCTTAACGACTGTGCCACCAGGGCTCCAGAAAATGACCACTCAAGAAGAAAGAGCAAGAAATTCTGACATCAGAGGTTCTCAACAAATGGCCCGCCAGGGCACCCTCAGTGAGCACTATGTCCACAGGCCCCACCCTCACACTCAGAGCCTCCAGGCAGCTCTTCAGTCACCACTCTAACCCATTAGGAGACAACCCAGGACCACCAGGCACCCGAGGACAGCTTCTAACGTGGAAAACAGAACAAATGAAGAAAACGAAAGCAAGCAACTCTGAGGAAATGAGACTGTACAGGGAAAAGAAAACTAAAAATAAACAAACTAAAATCTGTCACTAATATCCTCAGAGATAAACGACACTATATTGTATTAACAAAACAGAATGCTATGAAAGAGGAAATGAAAACCTCAACAGAAAGGTTGGAAAATAAAGATAAGGAAATCTTCCAGAAAGTGGAGCACAAAGAAAAAGATGGAAAACATGAGAGAAAAGGTAAGAAAATTCAAGAACAAGTTCAGGAGGTCCAACATTCAGAAAGGGAGAGCAAAGACAACAGGAGGGAGGGAAAGAGTCACGGACAAACAACTCCAGAAAGGTTCTTGAAGCTAAAGCCATCAGGTTGCAAGGGCCCACACAGCACTCACAGCAATGGATCAAATGCACCTCGTGCAGCACATCAGTGGGGCATTTTCTACTACTGGTGAAAAAGAGACGATTCAACAGGCTTCTAGAGAGGAAAAAAAAGCAGGTCACGTATGAAGGATTAGCAATCAAAATGGCTTTGGGCTTCTCAACGGTGACACTGGAAGCTAGAAGGCAATGGAGCAATGTCTTCAAAATTCTGAAGGAAAATTATTTGCAAACCAGAATTCTATACAAAAGATAAAGACAATTTCAGACATATGCAGTCTCAAAAATATACTTCCCATGTACGCTTTCTCTAGAAGCCATTAACTAAAAGATGTGCTGCACCAAAACGAGACTAAACAAGAAAGAAGACGATATGGGATACTGGAACAGGAGATTCAAATCAGGAAAGAGGTGAAAAGAATCCAAGGGAGTCTGCTGAAGAGATGAAGAAGCCAGCAGTCCAGACCAACCCAGTCATCTCAAGAGAGTCACATGTTGAGGGCTGTCCTCAAGATGCTTACTGCCATTATACCATCTCTATCTTGGTAAGATTTTTACTGAAGTACAACATCCATATCGAAAATAGCACAGATCAGAACTGTACAGCTTGACCAATTTCCACAAAGTAGACATGTGGTTAACGAGCAGCCAGGTCAAAAAGCAGAATATTACCTTCTGGTGCCTCCTTCCAGTCTCTGCCTCACCAAGGGCAATATCTCTCCAACTTCTAACATCACAGGTTAGTTTTATCTGTTGTTGAATTTTTATATAGATAAAATCACACAGTATGCACTCGTTTATGCCTGACTTTTTTCATCCAATGTTGTCTGTGAGATTCATCCATGCTGTGTGTTGTTGCTTCTCACTACTCTATGTATCTCGTTCTACAAATATATCGCAATTAACATATTCATTTTGCTGTTAATGAACATTTGGACTATATCCAGTGTTCTGGTTTTTATAAGCAGTGATGCTATGAACATTCTTGTACATTTTTTTAGTGAACAGATGGACATATTTCTAAGTGTGGTTATGCTGGGACACAGAGTGTGCATATGTTCAGTTTTAGTAAATACTGCCAGTGTTCCAAAGTAGGGCACCGTGTACCATATTTTTCAACCGAGAACAAATGCCTGGGTGAGGTGAGTCCAGACCCTTATCTGTGCTTGAATAGCCTTGACCATGCGTTGA